TTGCGCACGTATCCGCTTTTGTCCTTGAGAACGTGTGCGTCCGCTGGCGGATTGGTTTTGTTCCGCGTGAAGTTGAAATAGGAGTACTCTGTTGCGAAACGGGCTAGAGAGAGTTCCTCCAAGACGTCCGGTCTTTGGACGTAGTGCTCCAACGTGCCCTTGATGAACACGTCTTCGCACGCACCGTCCATGGAGCGAAGATGCGCTTTCGATTTAGCCATTTTTACTCGCCGCTCGGGAGGAAATGTATTCACAAATACGTGGCCGACGCTACAATTCGTCAATCGCAGTCCGACGGTGTGATAAGCGGCTTCTTGCGCGGAAACCTCGCAGCTGCCGAGGAAAACGTTTCCCAATCGACGGAGTTTTTCCTTTGTGTTTAGGTCTCCATTTCTTATATGGGCCTGCGCCTCGATCATCAACTTGGATAGGCCCCTGTCCGATTTGTTGATGTAATTGACGATATACGAGACACAATTGTAAGGATCCACGATGAATTGGATATCCATGTTGGCCTTGTGCATTTCCAAAATGTTTGCATTATAAGGATTCACGAACAAATCGACAACGTCCCGCTTTAAAAAAACCTTATATTTGGTAAGGTCCGATCGTATGGCATCAATATATCGTCTTTCCGACATGGACAGCTTAAAAAGTAGATCGTCGAAGGAAACGTCATCCTCTTCGGTCGCCGCACTTCTACCGTCGAGATATTCCCGAACGATCTTGAGGTCCCGCTTCGCTTGCTCCCTATTTATCGCCGAATCGTCGTCGACGTCGTTGTCCTCCCTCGACACGATCGGTCCCAGGATTCTTGTGCCTCTCATGGGAAAAAAGGGAATTCCATATCTGCAGCAACGATACGATAATATTAACTAACGCTACTACCAACGGTTATAATTAACATTGAATTTAATACGTTAATATTAAGAAAATGGATGATCACTACTTACCTACAACGCGCCTTCTCTTGCTGCTGTTGCCGTTGTTGAATTTTGCCGCACGAATAGGAGTGTGTGTGCACTTGGTATTTGATTAAATCAGACATATGCACGTTCGACCTCGATGCGCTGACAAATTTGTCGATAAATGTTTCGCATTCGTCCCGTCGAATAAGGGCGCGTTTTTCAAATACACGACGGAGTGTAAGTGAGGGGCACCCCTGTGTTGAAATTCTATTCGATAATAGTGGTGGATAACTTCATGATCGAGAAAGATCCGATTTGCCGCGCCTTTTTGCCGCATCAGGGAGAACATTAATCTAATCCTATTATCAAAGTACCTCACCACTGTAACGGGGTCTTCGCGTACCAATTTCATTTTATTCGCGGAACTCATGTTCAATACGTCTTTGTCACTGTAGTTTTTGAATGGAAATGAGCTCGACCCACTTCCCGTCCGCCGACGGCAACGTAATAAAGAAGGTCGGAACACCCGGTTGGCGAATCATAGCGAACAATTTTTGCCGCTCCTCGTGCCAAAACGCCGGCGAACTCCTCATATTCTTCAGGAAGGAGAACGCGTTGTCTACCTTCACCATCTCTCTAACGGTGGTTGCGTCCAATATCCCTTACATTAATCGATCTATTCCCGATGGCGTTACGCTTTTGTCTAACACACAAGCTGATGCTGTCGAACATCTCCAGCGTCTGTTTCAATTTGAAATCGAAGAAGAGCTTGTCCGGTCGGCAACAATGTCTTTTATAATATAGCAATTCAAATTTTACAATTGACGAAAAGGACGTTTTTCTTAAATTATTGCGATTGGTCGGTGACGGCCGAGGACGTCCATGATAGATGGTCGGGAAAGATAATTCCTCTACAAACTTGTCTTTTATGAAAGACAATGCCTTATTGCCCTCGCCCGCGATAAATGTAGCCGTCGCCTCCGCCACCGTAGATGCGGCGTTGTTGTTACACAGCATCGTGTCATCTGCAGTAGGTCGATTATTTCCGCGCTCTAAAAAGTAACCTAATTACGACTACGTTATAACCCACAATAATGCTAACCTCTTATTCAGAGAGTACACAAAAGAAAAGAACTGGATACGTCCCAAATGACTTCCAAAGTTTACTATATGGTCGGTACTTGTTCCCCTACAATAGAACAAAAGAACATCGGTAACCTCAATTCGTGCACAAGAAAACACTTACGATTTGGAATGCTTGAGTTTTCCGTATTAAAAGTCCATTTCGGAAAAAAAATTGTAACCGAACATCCAAAAACAAATTTTCGGCACAACGGTTAATCGATTGATGAAAGATGCTTCCGATAATTATTACATCAATTCGATCATTGGAAACTATATCAAACACTCAAATTCGGGAATGTAATACGACCGATTCTATTGCAGGTTGCTAGAAGACGCCACCAGTTTCGAAATTTTACCCAAGCCAAAGCTACAGATAGTTATCTTTGACAAATAGTAGGGCAGTATTTGATACATGACCATATAAGGTAATTTGATGGTTAACACAAAAAAAGCAAAACAAACTAAATGTCCTCTAACGACAAGAACACAAGTTAAACCGGAGAGACAAACACAGAAATGCAAAAGTAACTAGAAATTGGTCGCATTAAATGACTCGAGAAAATTTAGAAAATATACAGGTGGAAATTGAAATATGGACAGAAATGTAAATATTATTTTAAAACTGTTACAAGACTAATTTAATTCCTTGAAGATACGATTTTTCGGTAGTGTTACATTTCAAAAATATTTTGAAAAATACATGGTGCGTTCACAAAGTAGGGTGCTAAAAAGGTAGGTACATTTTTTTAAATGGAATCCTCTGTATAGATAAATCTGTACATAAAAGTACTTACCGTCTAAGCAGCAATTATTACTTGGTTTGTTGGGGTAATTGGGTTTCCACTTTTCTAATTTCACTTTCTACTTATAAGCGAGTATTTTATCCTCAATGGGAAAACGATACATATTATGTACTTTTTTCCTATGGCGTATTAGGCTATGGATTGGAACGCTGCAATAAATCATGGGAATTTTACACCATCTGTCCTATGATTACTTTGTAGAAAAAAATTCACAGATTTCGCAATCCTTGCAACCATCGGAGACATTGGAAATGATAACCGTACAATGCCATATGTAAAACAAATAACTTTTGTTAACTTCATGTCAACTTTCTGATTAATAAGCGCCATAATATGCTCGTAATACTATCAAACGAGATGTCCGAGGATTTTAGTTTGGGATTAACAAAACAATTGAGCACTACGTAAGTAATAATAATGTATATTTTGCCCAACAGATGAGTATCCAATTAACGGACAAAATCCATACAACAAATACACAAGCAAGTACAGTAACAAAAAGAAAAATTTAAATATGAGTAGAATCTTTTTGTCTTTTGGACATATTAATCTTGTAATGGATTTATTAATTTTCTTAGTTTGTGAACCCCATTTGCCAATAAATGCATATTATTATTATTATTATAACAAAATTAAAAATACATCATATAACAAAAACAAAAAATATTTAACATTTCTTATAATATTAATTATTAAGAATGAAAATCTAAAAACTGAACCTTTGGCAAATACAAGATATCATAGTTTTTAGAAAACATGTCACAATACTTACACCTTCTATGAAATGGCGAATTCTTAAAAATATTAGAATTACAATAAGGTATGTAAAATGTATCATTACCCCGGTAACCAAAACGGGGAACATAAAAGTTCAAGTACGGGTACCGTAACAAATCAGGACAATCGACTTTATTGTGGATAAGATTATGGAGAAAAGACATACTTGTTTTTATTTTACGATTTTCTAGGGAGTCCATATTCGTTGCAATGTAAGTACCGTATCGACAGTATCCGCGACTTTTGCATAACCTATCGATCACGGCCGAGTACGGTACTATTGTTGCGACACCTTTGTCTTTTGGCCTTGAATGAAACTCGTAACTTTGTACCCATATACGAAAACATAAACATTTCCAATGTTAAAAAACAAACATCGAATTTAGTAGTTAGGCATATGTTATATTTTAGAATTCTTCTTATTTGTTGTTCGAATCACGATTAACATAGCAAGGGGTGGGAACACAATCGACAGATTTTTCGCATGGCGTTTGTTTATTTGCTTCGAAAAAATTCCTGTAATATTCAAGCATTTTTGATCACTCTGTGTAATAACATAAATAGAATCCTAAGTAAAAACTATTTGGTTAACTAACATACCTCGAAGGTCCCTTGCTGAAGTCGATTATTGTGGAAATGTCACTTCATATATATGTGAAAGGGGTGTATTTTTTGTATTCAAGTTCAGTCGATGAACTTGAAAATATCTGCTAAATTTGAGCTGTAATTAGGCATTGTTTCCAGAAATATTAACAATTTGCTTGTATGGCTACCGGAGAATTGTAGCCAGTGGGCATGCGGTTTCGGATTCGGTAATACAATTCGACTGTTTATGATTGCTGAGCTTTAAACTACGTTGATATCCACCACGCTCATCCAGACGATAGGGTCATATAAGTGTTTCTAACTATAAAGTTTATTGGTACAGACAGACCGCGGCCATCCTTTAACTAGCATTATTTAATTTAGATTATCATGTTGCTTACCGTTGAAGCTTCCACAGGGTTCTAATTAACTAGGATCGAGAGATTATTTAATCTCATTTAACGCCTGACCTGTAAGCTACTGTAAGACATTTCGCAGGATTAGTTAGTTCTCGTCGTATTAAATGCACGAAATACAAAATTTTAATATTTATCGGATATACGAGCGGATAATGGAGGACGTTATTATTTCGTACAATGCTACCCAATTATCGATTGTTTGTGCGTTACAGATTCATAATCCTATTAGTCGTCTGAAAACGGGCGATACAATGCAATATTTTTACCCTACCGTTTCCCGCAAATTCCGGCTCGATTGTTATAAACAGGCGGCAATTCGGCGCTTGTGTTTAATGAAATTATGTATCAGGTATGTTACAGCGAATTTTTTTTCATTTTTTTAGTGCCGGCAAAGGTAGTATGGGGCGTGACCGGTAAAGACGTCGAACTTCCCTGTGACGTTACACCGCCAATTCCATCAGATTCGGTTAAAATGATTTTCTGGTTTAAGGACTCCACGGGGATGCCTTTATATAGGTAAGGATGTTTAAAATGTTATCTATAAATAGTTGATTGCAGTGTGTTTTATAGCAAGTCGATATGTATAACATAAAATACGTAATTTTCCTACCCTTTTCAAGTAAGTATTTTAAAATGTACGGCAAAAATGGTGCATCGATTTCTCTTAAAGGAAGAGGGTTGTAAAGGATTCGGAATATTTAGCGAGGCTCCGGACGTATAAATCAAAGTACCGGACCAGGAGAACAAATCGCTGAGCTCGGTACTTTACAACTGCTCGAAGGTACAGGATATAGAGCCGCCAGACTATTCTGCTTGATAATCCTTTTTCCTGAATATTTTCGGTATAAGCTATTTTTAGACGTTGTTACGTAGACGTTATGTATTAATAATAATGGCTAAAGAGAATACATATATTTCAGTTGCCGAACAGTCATTTCGTTGTATCTGTGTTTGATTGCTTTTTTTACGTAAACATTTAAAGAGAGATCCAGTTAAAAAAGTACCGATTTATTGTGTCGTTTCGATTGAAACCGTTTGTTTAATGGCACAATAAAATATTTCTACTTCAACCTACTTGTAGCCGTCAAGAGACTGGTCTTATAATTTGCTGAACCTGCAAAACCCATCACGCAGTCGAGCTATCAAATATGGGAAGCCATTTCGTTATATTCCGTCTATTGTCGAAGGAAATAACGCCTGTTTTACGGGATATTTTATACATTTGCATCCGCGTCTCTCGTTCTGGTATTGTTTCCTTTACGCCGGGGAAAATAAAACCCGTACTTAAATTTCATCCCGTATAAAAGTGGGGTTAGTTCATGTATTTACACAACTCATATTTAAAAGTGGAGAATGTGTGCTTGTTAAATGCTTTTTATTGCCCATTTGCACGAAAACTGTTAAATGCCCACCGTGGTTTTACAAATAACTTCGCAGAAAGGAATTGCAGCATTTGTGAAATTTATTACTTTGTGAATATAAATTGAAATTTTCCTACAAAGTTTTATTATTTCGATTTTGTATTAGATAGGTTTTCACGGTATCTCCCTTGCACCCCTGTGATCGATACACATACCATAAGATTATAAGGATGATTTAAATTTTCCCGTACGCAGAGATTTCTTAAAATAGGCCACAGTTTTCGACTTTTCAAACGTAAAAGCGTGGGTTACAAAACTATATTTATTTATTGTGTACGATTCAAAGTTCAAGAATGTTGTTTTTTTTTTGTTACCTACTGCCAAGTCATATGTTCTCCGGGAAACTTCTGGCATAAAAATAGTTCAAAATATTTTTGGTTATGTAATGCCGGAAGTAACAGGTTAATAAATATTTTCACTACGACGTTCAAAGCCAATATATTCCGCAGTAAAAAGTGTTTTTACTACTCTTAAATGTGGATAGTTTACTGGTTAGATTAATATTCGCATCTCCAAAAAAGTGTAAACAAACAACAGGTGTTTTATAAAATCTGTTGTCTATCTAATTAAAGTTGTTTTTCTAATTTGTTTACATAACCTTGGGCAATAGCGGAGGCTGAAAATATAATAATAGAGTACATATTTAAATATTATTGACATATTAAGCCCTAATACATCAATGGGCTACTATCCCATGGTAAGAAAAAAGAAGAAAGCATTCGTTTTCACCTCGCTCATTTTTGCTACGCAATTTGTAGATTATACTGTGCATGATATTCTGAATTTCACATGGCACACAAGATTATGTAAATTATAAAATAAAGATACTGAACAGTTTCAAAGAAGTAAGAACTCCCTTGTAGCGGTGGACGTATAGGGTTTAGTGTGGGTAGTCTGCAACAGGAAAGCTTTAGTATAAAAACGAAACACGTAAAGGTCTGAAAAATACTGTTTGTAACGAATACTAATTCTACCCAAAAATTATCGGTTCCTTAAGAGCACAGGTATTCCAGCTGTAACGGGAGTCCGTTAAAATTCAGTCATAGAAATGTCGTATTGTGTAACTGACTGTGTAAACGTACCTGACTTATGTCGCTACTGGGTTGCTGTTGGTAACGCAAGTAAAATAGCTTTTAAGTCAATGGCATCCGTTATGACTTATGTTATTGTATCGTGGATAAGTTTCTTATGATATTCGGCATACACTTGTTGCACTCACATAGAAGATATTTCTGTTTGGTAGCCAATTCCAGAAAATAATATAAGAAGACCGATTCTACGTAATTTTTGCTCTTTATGGCTGGTCTGCCTCGTCAATAATGTTCAGTAAAGCGTTTTTCGTACACTTCTAGCATATCACATTTAAAAAGCACAACACATTTGCATTGGTCCCATACTTAAAGGGAATATTCCTTTAGGTAAAGGTCAATATTGTATCAAGTGTAATAATTTTATTTTTGTGAAAGTGACGGAACGACTTCAAAGGCACATTCAGATCAAGCCTACAGATTAATCAGTGCATTGGCGATTTTACAATGTAACTGCTGGGGTTATTATCCACGCCTACCGAACTTACAATGTTTAATAGCAGAAGAGCAAATCGACATTATTTACATCCAAGAAACAGAATTTCCGGATTTCACGCCTCGAAATTGCACAAACATCAAGCTTTCTGTAAAAATAGATCCTCCCATCCACAGTAGTTACATTTATTAAACTACTAAATCCGCAACAAATAAATCTCATAACCCTATCCCGTAGCGGTATGTAACATTTACATCCCGCCTAACCAAAAAATTACAGAACAGGATTTAGTGGACATAAAACTACCTACCCCCTCCGTTCGTGCTGATCGGAGATATTAATGGTAGGGGAAAAATTATCGAAATCGTACTAACCTTGTCAAATCTATGCTCTGTAAAACCTGAAAATATGACTAGAATCTAGTAACCAAATTAATACTCGTAGATTCACTTTATACTGACATGTAATGTGGGTTGCGTGATGTACGTTTCTTTCACATTTGAATAGATTTCATTTATGCTTTTGTGTTATTATTTGGGAGGAACTACGTGTTCCTTCCTTTTCCTTTTTTTGCCAACATCATAATTTTAAAAGCAATTTATAATAAATAGGTAATACATTGATAATAGGTAATAATCCTGGATACATTTTTGACCTTTGAAACATTATTATGAATTGTAGTTTTAAATGTTTTATCAGTTGTAATACTACACAACCCACATTATAATTTACAACAAATGTTAAGGTATTGAACAAATTCAGAACAATTAATTATACTCATTATCAAACAGCACAGTTCACTGCTTTATGCATAAGCGACTTAGTTAGTGTATTCCTAAAGTTCACTAAAACTGTTACTGTCCTCCGATCCGAGTGAAACAATTAATGGTTCTATAAATGTGTCCATTAGGCCACCCAATCTACATATCATGCCTTCTTTCCTTAATAACGTGTTGCACACAATTCCGCCAATCGTTAGAGCTCACATTTGCAACAGCGCTATGAAAAAGTTCCTGCTTTTAATTTGAAAGTTCTAATCTTCGATGCCAAATCATTATTTATTTTTTATTTTTCCCATATCATTTCAATTGGATACCCAAATATGATATTTACCTTACCTGCGGTAGATGCAATCTTCAAAACAAGAGTAGCAAAATTCATATCCGGAGAATCAGACATTTGTTTATAAGTATTTATAATAAACTGTGTTACGTTCACTTTGGGCCAACGTGACAAAAATTACCTTAGATAAGCACATGGTAAGCTTAGGCAAAGTAGAAGTGGGTCGGGGTGAATATGGGGTTCTTCTACACAAACACAAATAAGCCAAAAAGGGAAGGAAACAGTAAAAGTAATCCGGATAGGCGCCACTTGGTCTTTGATAAATTTAGAGAGAGAGAGAGGGAGGACTACTTACTAAAGGGATAAACAAGGCAGACTAAGAGATCCTTGTTCTCGTCTTACTAAACTCGAAGGAAGGCACAATTATGGGGAAAGAAACATAAACAATATTTGATGGCATAAATGCGGGTGGTTTAATACTTTAATACAATGATCTCAAAATATCATAAATCTGACACTGTAATATATAGATCTGGTATGTCAAAATAGGAATTTAAAATAATCTCTAATAAAAAAAAACAAATGAGAAGCGTGAGAAGCCAACACGTAGCCGGGGAAAGTATTTATCCAAAAGGGGCTTCCGCAGAAACAACGGAGCTATAATCATTAAGTGACTTTCACACAAAGTAATAATCACAACTCGTTAGTATCAAAAACTAAAATGTAATCAAACGTTAAAAGGGAAAAAAACGACGCAAACAACTAAATTTACCTTTGAACTACGGTCGCAACCTTCTGAGCTCAGAGGACGCGAAACTGCAAATCTGTAAACAGACAGACACACAAACAAAAAAATATAAGAAGGGTAATGATTCGCGTTGCACAATATATCGCATAAGCAATGGTTAACATAAGACACGAAGGGTTATTCTTATACGTAGAATTGCAATCAATACTAAAAAGAATCAAAAATTCAAATGACTACGACAAAACAAAATTTGGTTCGACTAAGGGTTGGTTTTTACAATCGGTATGAGATATCAAAAAGTGACATGAAGTCTTAAAAAAAATACTATAAAATGTACAAATAACTGAATCTATCTTCAATGACAAAGCAATCTTATCAATTCAAATGAAAACAAACTTACACGAGCAAGTTCTTCAGAGTAAAATACATAACGTTAATTGAAATTGTAGAAATTTACTTCGGACAAAGTCTCGGCAATTTTAAGAACTAGATCACAAACAAAAGTAGTTAATATGAAGGATAAAATACAGTAAACTAACAAATATAAGTATCGGAGTAACACAAATATGATGTCGATCGTAGATGATATTATCGTTAATATAAACTTTGGTAACGACAAAACTAAACGTAATCGGTAACTGGGTATACAAATACATACGAACGATTTACACAGTACCAACTCCACACGTCTTTTTATTCAGACACTTACGTTTCGGAGTAATCAATCGTAGGTCAACGAACTTCGAAAAATTGGGTCATCA